TTTTGCAGTCCCTTGAGCATCAAAAATGTTAATGTTCATTGGGGTCGACAAAAATCCTTTAGTTAGAACAACACATATTTTGATACTAGTTTGATTCTCAATAACATCATATGATCTTCTCTCCAGGAACACATCAACCACTATATGGTATTATTTAATATTATAATATCATCAACTTCATTTGCATTAAGTGTCATAACTTACCATCATCATCCTCTACAGTGACATTCATTGTTCCTGGATTACCTAAACCTGTATTACCAATGTTCCTTAATCTTAGTAGATAATGTTTATCAGGTTCCAGTGCAATGTTATTATCAACCACTGGAAAAACAACAGTCCTATTCTGTGGTATAGCACCAGTACCAAATGTCATAAAACCAAGTAGTGTTCCTTCTATAATTGAAATAAATGCATTAAAACTGCAGGATATGATTAAACATACTTGTAGTTCCATCATCGATGTATACTTCAACATCTTCACTTTGACTCAATTGTGCTCCTCCTAATATGACAGTGATTGATTGATTTCCTCCTCCTTCAGAGAATGTAGCTTGACCCATAGCAAACCTTACTTCAGCCTCTGCTTAGTGCATAATACGACTAAACATGGAATTTTATAATAATTATACTAACGATCATCATCTTGTATCCTGATGAATGATGGACTTCTGTCAACTGTTAATCTATTATTTACTGGGAAGATGTCAGTTATTGATACTGTAAAGTTCTCAAATAATTGTTCACTAATGAGATCATTCCTAATTCTAAATCTGCCGCATGCCCTGTTTGCAAATGAATGTAATGTTGGACGAATTCTAAGAGTACTATAATCACCTAATTAAAGGACACATAATGCAATAAATATTAATACTTACCAATGCATACTGCAGTGTTATCTCTAGCTTGTAGAGTTATTTCTGTATCAATTGATAATACTCCTCCAGTTAGTACAGCACATATTTCTACAGTTCCTTCATTCTCAATCACATCATATGTTCCTCTCTCTAATGACAGTACACCAGCTATACAACAAAAAAATAGATATTGTCACATCTCCTCTCAATTATTATATAACTTACTGTCATCATCGATAATGGCAATGGTAGCTGTCCGCCGATCTCTTGGTATTTGGAGAACATTATTATCATTACGTAATATGATGACTCTTATTGTTTCATCTCCCTCAATGATATTATCATCAATACTAGTGATAGGAGTGAATGACATATCATTCAGTGTATTATTGGCACTGTAGGTTAATCTTGGAACAGTAGAATTTAAAAGAAAATCACTACCTAATAATGTAAAATTAATATGAATAAATCTATTAAATACTATTAACCATTTGTAGCAGTCCCAGATGTGTGTACTAATTGAACTGGCTGTAGACGGTTCTGTGGAAATCCTCCAATGTCTGCACCACCAGTCTCATCTCCTATCTGCTTTATAGTTAATGTTGCCCCTTCTCCTTCTCTTATAGTAACATGTAGATCTTTGAAACCAACTCTGAAAACTATATTTACAATTAATTAATTTTATTAGCAGTAATAACATACCATCTCGATTGTCAAGTCTTACTATTTGAGTGTTAGGATTTATCCTAACTCTAGAATCATTAACAGTGAGTCTCCACTGAAACACTTCTTGCAATTCTACAATATTATCCTGTGACATCAAGAAAGTTACACGTTCAAAATTTTGATCAAATTGATATTCTGGATGAAATACAACACTATGTTGTTCAGTAAAGTTAAAATTATCTACAAATAAACTAAATGATAATCAACAATGAATGTATCATACCAAATTCCCCAACAGCAGTAAACAAATAAGGATTTCTAAACCTCTCAAGTGAGACAGTGACTTCAAAAGGAGCTTCATATTCAATTAATTTACGCCTAATGACAGCTACAGCAGTACTACCTTCTACAAAAGGAAAGCATTGTAGTTCCAGACCAACACTCATTACTGAAAGTAAGAAAGAGTGAACACAATCATTTGATTCAATAATTTACTCACTGTCTATATCATCAATTGTAATGCTAAGATGATTGTATACAAGTACAACTCCTGATGGTATTAATTCACCACTGCTAGGTACAATAGTGTAATGAATTGAAAGAGTTGGCTGGAGAGCAAGTTCATTCCCATATGAAACATATTGCAGATTAAATCTTTTGGGAAGGAAAGCATCAGTTTGTCCACTAAACACTGGTGTCCTTAAATATTCAGTGACTTTAATAAAAAAAATAAGTATAAAGCAAATGAGATATTAATTTACCATCAGCAAATGTTGCTGGCTCTCGTGAAATAGTCCAACAAAAATCACGAACTTCATTTGTTGGAGCCCCAGGAGTACTGAGGAGTACATCAGCAGTAACTGAATATCTTCTACCAGCATCACTTGGACCAATATGCACACGTGTTTGATCAAAACCAACAACTAGTGAACAAAAGTAACAACAACAACATAGGGTACTGATACTATGGGATTTTATATAAAACAATTTGAAACAGCATACAAATTAAAAATTAAAACTTAAATAGTCACAGGGTATAGATCTACATTCTGTGGTAACCTTACCAATGCATGCACCACACTGTGCCACTGCACTCAATGAAGAATGAGATATATATCCTCCACCAGTTCTATTACAGCAGTCAATAGCTGCAAGACTGACTCCATTAGTATTACTAGTACAATCAGCAGCAGACAAATAACACTGTACAGTGACATCCTCTGGTAATTTCTGTGTCACTATGATATACATATAATTTAAAAAAAGAAAGTTTCAGACTGATTCTACAAGACCATATCTGAATTCTTGTATAACTACTTTAGTTAACAAAAACAACACGGATTATATTATTTAACTTAAGGATGGTTTAGATCAGTGTATTTTGTTAATTCAGTCCTTAACACATGTGTATGGTCATTCTAAGTAAGCCTAGGCTTTGCCCAGTTCAAGATAGGCTGATTAGGTGAGTAAAATAGTTATACTAATAAATAGTTGTTTAATTATTCATTTCCTGATTGTTACTGCAAATGCATAGCCATAAATGCATGATAAATGACCTGAAAGATTCTAGTCTCTCATTACATTTAATGAAAGGCCTATTTGATCTAATTAATTAATGTATGCACATGGCTTAACTTTTCCTACCTTACCATCATCATCCTCTAAAATCACATTCATTGTTCCTGGATTACCTAAACCTATGTTACCAATGTTCCTTAATTTTAGTAGATAAAGTTTATCAGGTTCCAGTGCAATGTTATTGTCAACCACTGGGAAAACAACAGTCCTATTCTGTGTTATAACACCAGTACCAAATGTCATAAAACCAAGTGATGTTCCATCTATTCCAATGCATAAAGAAATATAATATTATATTATAGACATACTGCTAGTTCCATCATCAATGTATACTTCAACATCTTCACTCTGGCTCAATTGTGCTCCTCCTAGTATGACAGTGATTGATTGATTTCCTCCTCCTTCAGAGAATGTAGCTTGACCCATAGCAAACCTTACTTCAGCCTCTGCTTAGTGCATAATACGACTAAACAAGGGATTTTATAACAATTATACTAACGATCATCATCTTGTATCCTGATGAATGATGGAGTCTGGTCTATCGTTAATCCACTATTTTCTGGAAAGATGCCAATTATTGCTATGGTACAGTTCTCCAATAGTTGTTCACTAATGAGATCATTCGTAATATTAAATCTACCACATGTTTTGTTTGTAAATGAATGTAATACTGAATGAATTCCATGAGTACTGTAGTCACCTAATTAAAAGGCACATGATACAATGAATATTAATATTAACATTTACTCCTAAACCGTGCAGTGTTATCTTCAGCTAGTATAGTTATTTCTGTATCAGTTGATAATACTCCTCCAGTTAGTACAGCACATATTTCTACAGTTCCTTCATTCTCAATCATATCATATGTTCCTCTCTCTAATGACAGCACACCAGCTATACAGTGAATAATAAAAATAAATAAAAAAACAAACATTAGATTCTTTATCTCTCATCTTAATTATTATACACCACCATAATGCTTACTGTCATCATCAATAATGGTGATGGTAGCTGTCTGAAATTCTCTCTGTACTTGAACAACATTATCACCACCAGATAATATGATGACTCTTATTGATTCATTTCCTTCAATGACATTATCTTCAAAACTTGTGATAGGAGTGAATGTATCATTCAGTGTATTATTGGCTCTGTACGTGAACCTTGGGGCAGTAGCAGCAAGGAAGAAATCACTACCTATAATTAATACTAATACCAACTACATGAATGTGTTAATACTAACCATTTACAGCAGTCCCAGAAACTTGTCTCAATAGAACTGGTTGTAAATGAACTTCTGGAAATCCTCCAACAGCTAAACCACCAGTCTCATTTCCTATCTGTTTTATAGTTAATGGGGCTGCTTCTCCTTCTCTAAGAGTAAATTGTAGTTCTCTAAACCCAATGGTGAAAACTATAAAAAATACAAACAAGTTATCTCATAATTGTGCCAAATGACTTACCATCTTGATTGTTAAGTCTTACTATTTGAGTAGTTTTCAAAGGATCTAGTCTAACTCTGGAATCATTAACACTGAGTCTCCACTGAAACACTTCTTGCAACTCTACAATATTATCACGTGGCATGGAAAAAGCCACACGTTCAAAACGCTGATCAATTGCTGTTGCTGGTTGAAGTACAACACTACGTTGCTCAGTAAAGTTGAAGAGATCTAAATTAAAAGAGTAAATAAATCATTTAAAATGAATTCCATACCAAAGTCTCCAACAGCAG